GAGAATAATGGCTGAAATTAATGATGGAACAATGGAAGCTCTTATAACGTAGGTAAACAAACTTTCTTTCCTGTAAATCTCTAATACACCGAGAACAATAGCGTCCGTTGTTTGCCGGCTTTAAGCATGCCGTACTACGAAACTACAATCCCTCAATACTGCTCCCGGATAATTATTAAATGAAACTGTCACTTTCATAACCGTGATTAATGATATTTAATGAAAGCTAATGGATGCGAATTGTACCGTACGATTATTTGATCAAACGGATATGAGCGATGCGTTTGCTCAGCTTAAATCTGTTTGCCAAGCATAGATGACACCCCCAGATATCAAGAACGAATCTAATGACACCGCCGTGTGATATTTCACGTTTCGTTATAAAGATAAATAGAGTCGTAAAAACAGCGTCCGTTGTTTGCCGGCAGTCGTAAAAATATCAAGGATCTACATACGGTCTGCAGTGCTATTAACGACTCGTTTAATGAATCTCAATTTATTATATGTTAATCGAAATTTATATTATTAGGTAATTTTTATAAATTACTTTTAAAAAAATGTTAAATGTGCATTAATAATATTTATCAGAGATAAGCGTAAAAATAAATATTAATAAATATCAAATTATTTTATATAATTATCGATAATTTATTTTTATTATTACAATCAATATAATAATCAATATAATAAAATAAAATAATTTACATATGTAATATAATAAACATTATGTCGCAACAGATACATCAAAAATATGAAAAAAAAAATGTTTAATTATTACTATATTAACATTTTAATTTAAAAAGAAACACGCTTTTTTTATACATCTCGGTTAACGATAAAATAGATTTCTGTAAATTCTTATATTATTTTTGACAAACTCCTTGCTCCATCTAATAATCACAAAATATCTTTAACAGAGCATTCAAAAAAATCAATGGGTCGATAAGTAACACTAAAAAAATATTAACAAAAAAATATTTATATCGTTTAGTTTTTTATAATACGATAACAAATATAAATTGAATTCACACAAAAATATATTTAAAATATTGCATGATAAAAGCTATCAATGCTTCCTAAAATCGTCAAATGTGTTGCACAACTTATCCGATAATTGCACCATTTTCACCTGCTGCGTGTAAAATATTAATGACACGATCTCTTTGAAAACGTATGTTATCATTTGCTGGTTAATATGCTGTAATATCAGCAATCCGTAAGACAATTGTAGAATAGTGAAAGTGCTTATAATTAGCATAGATCATGTTCTAAATTTGACAAATATGAAAGAGACAATTTTTGTTTTATATTTTTAATTTCAAAAAAATAATCAATACAAATATATTATATATGAATATAAAATATTTCATAATTCACGATTTTTATTCTACTGTAAAATTCTCTGAATTTGAAGTTTATTTAAAAAGAAAACTTTTCTTAAATAAAATAAATTAAAGTTTATTCAAAAAGAAATAAAAAAAATAATTATTTATTGGAATTTTTAATATTATATATCTTTTTAATTAACCTACACATTTTTCATTTGAAGTTTAGTCACAAGGTCTAATTAAAGTCTATTTAAAACGAATTAAAGAATATTGTTCATTTATTTGTCCATCTTAATTAATTTCTTAAGATTCTTTTCAATCAATTATAATTTAAAAAAACTAATTCTTTAAAAACACATGTATATATATATATACAAATTTTAATAGTAAATAATTAAAAATAATATTTTTATCATATCAGATAATCCTATTGATATTAGTTTCAATCATAATTTGAATCATAATTTAACTTATATTTTCTGTTTTAACTTATTTCTGTTTTCTGTTTTCATAATTTTGACCATAACGGATGAGCAAAGAAGATTTAATTAAATTAGCATTAACCAATGTTGATAGTTTAATGTCTTAACTTAGCGGTCTATTCACGCGAAAAGTTACCTGTTTGTGCACAAACATTTGAAACTATGTTAGCTCCACATAAATGCATAAAGGTATTATTATAGTTATTAACTAACTTTGTAAACATGTACTAAATTTTACTGGTACATTATACGTAGTATGACACCGCAATAACGTCAGACATTCAGAAACCGTTAATTTTTAATATTATCTTCCCGAGATCGTTATGACGTTTATTTCTAAAGTGGCGTTTTACAAACGTGTTATCAAAACGTCCATGATGCACATACAAGTGTATCGATGCCGTTTGATCATTGGTTGAGTCATTATAACAGTCGCTTTTCTGCAACTCAGCCTATTCCCCTACGTATGCTCGTTATCTGCGTACGTAGTATACCAAGCTGGGAATGTCAGCAAGAGGAATACGGCGAGTAAAGCGAGTACTTATCACGCATCGTTGAGCTCTGACTTATCCGACTGTGACGTCGAGCTAGAGGAACGTTATCTCGCTTATCGGCCGCGCTTCTACGCTTCCATGAACGTACATCCGCCGTTCGCGCGATCTTTAAAAAAATGCTGGCGAGAGGAATATTTCGATCATAAGCGAATAATAAAAACTCACTTGCACTAACTGTGAATGTATTAACTGATGTCGCTACTAACTGAAAGCATCTCTATCGATCAATCGAATATTTGCATAGGCATCTATAGTTGAAATATTATTCAAATATTCAAGAGAAGAAGCACCTTTGCTTCCATGCAGAAGCGACAGCGATAGAAAGTAGCAAAGGATAATATAATAAGAAGCTTCAAACACTGTCATTCTAATACATTTTCATTATTTACAGACACTATAGTTATGTATAGTTAGACATTACACGATAAAATGTTTGTTACGTGCATTTGCGGTACAATTAAATGTAATTTTCTAGAATTGGATAACGACAAAGAGGAAGACGTCGCAAGAACAAGACTGGACGTCGCAAGATAAGAATTGATAGTACGGCAAAGCACGGCAAGTGGATCAATTCGGTGATTCAGTTCAAGTGATGCTACTGTTGACGCTACTGTTTAATGTTATAAAATTATATATTGATATTGATTTCAAGCTGATCATAGTAAAGTTTTAAAATAAAAATAATAGATGAGTGAAAGCTGATCTTAAGATTGATCGACGCGATCGTAACGAGCATCTGTGATATACGTATTGGAAGACAAGATGATGAGAGGAGCACAAATCGAAGTGAGAATGAATACCGAGACTGTTCTCGATTGTATTATACGAAGGATGTCTAATCGGTCGACAACACTTTCCTTAATGATTAATGAACGTTACGCGATCATCTCTGTGATCCTTTCTGAAGATATACGTCAATTTTTCGCACTGTCGGTTGTTTAACAACAGACAAACATGGCATCGACTTTTAATCAGAAACTTTCGATCGTTCCACACGCATATTTCTAATTTCTTGTAACCATTTCGCGCTATCGACAGACAAAAGAATATATTAGTAATTAGGAACGTTCGACATATAAAAAAAAAATTGCAAATTTTCAACAGTAATAACAAACTGATAAGATAACGAGAAAATATAAATCCACTGTAAATATAGAAAGAAATATTTTTTTAGATTTAATAAATTTTCTTTAATCCAAACAAATGTATTGTTTGGAATGGTCCAACCAACCCATATTTGAGATAACAAACGCAACTGTTTGACTTTTCAAATAACAAATATTTTTACATAAAAGAAAATATTTTTTTACTTAAATAATTTTATTACATAATTCAAATAATTTCATTGTATCAGTAAAAGTATTATATTATATTAGTATATTATATTATTTTATTTAACACACACACACACACACACACACACACACACACACACACAGACGCATAGACTCCAATAATATATAAGGTGTCCCAGGTTTAAAGTGCAAAACTTTGTCAGTACGTTTTGTGGATTTAGAAAAAAAATGAACATGGATTGTTTATTAAAAAATTATAATAACAATAAATACGCGTGATAAACTGATACAAAAAATTAATGATATATTTACAGAGATGAAACAAAATACAAATAAACTTCGTATAGTGATAAAATTTCATTTGCACCGCTGTCAATCTTGTATTGCTAATGATGGTGATCAATGGAACATTAGTTGCATCTACAATTTAGATAAAAATTAATATCAATAGTAATAATTAGTATTAAATAATTAATTGTAATAATTAATATTCAGCAAAAGTTGTATTATTTTAATGTGTGCTGATTTAAACACGAGTCGCATAAAACATATCGCTATTCTTAACTGTTTCCTTGAAATTTCGTATTTTTGTTTATAATTTTTTAATAAAGCGTTTTAAACAATCTATGTTCATACAATATTTTTTTCTTCTATCTGGACCTCTAGAATGTACTGACAAAATTTGACACCTGGGACACTCTGTATATGTACTAATAAAAATCTCAGACAGCACTAAATCGTCTAAAAGATGACTAAAATATCTAAATTTCTATAAAGACATTTTTTTTGTTATCATCTTAATAATTATATCGTTAAAATTTAATTTACTTTAGCTTAGAATTTCCCGTTTGAAGGGACTCCATTTGAATGCAATCTCCATTTTGGGGACTTACCTTTAAAAAATCACTTTACTAGAAAGGATTGAAATGATTTCATAATACTTTTACATTTTTTTTATTCTACTTTTATTTATGGTTTTTATTTACGAGAAATAAAACTTGGTCATGTCCATTTAGCGCCGCATATTGCAAATTTATATTTTATTTATTAAATAATATTTAATATGATCAAAGAACATATTATTTCGTCGCAAATTATTTCAAATTGTTTCAAACGATCTTGTTCTTTTAATCAAATAATATGACTTAATGCAACGAAATAACAATATCTTCATCCAAACAAATAAACGCTTTATATAAAATTACGTTCAAAATCAAATAAATGCCAGTGAAAATATAAAAGAAATATAAAAGAAATCTTTCTCTTCGCGAAGACACAATAAATTTCAGCGAATCGATTAGATCGCGTGAATTGCTGCTTGCGAAGAGGAGTGCAATGAGAAATTGAGAAATGACCCAACTACTCCCGGAAGAGAGAAGAAGCGCGAAACGAACGAAGACCTATGACGGAGCGGAATGGAGAGGGATTGCCAACGCGGTTTCCTTCGAACGCGACCGGCGTCACGTTGTAGACGCCGGGCACTCGTGCAGCCGTGCTCCTCGTCAGTTGATACGGTTCCAGCATTTTACAGTCAGCTGGTCAGACAGTCGGTGATCGCGGAGTACCGTGGTAGGCTCGTCTCGCCAATCCGATCCTCGCCGATTTCAACGCCGGCTATTTCTGTGTAATTGACACGCGAGTGAATTTGATTCATCCATTACGATTACTATATTGCGATAATTCGTATACGTATCCTTTATTTTTCACACATCATGACCAACTAAACTCTATCCTATTTCACTGGAGATTCTGTCATCCGAACACGTGAGTAATGGTGCGCCGCACCTTCAAAAGATATTTTTCTCATACTTTAAATATTATTCAAATAATTATACAGTTAATATTGGCTTGGATAATAATTATTAAATGCTATATTTCTTATTAATTATTATTTTTAATTGATATTTCTTATTAATAATATGTTTGTTGTTGTGTAATAATGATATTAAACAGTCTGCAACATCAGTGATTATTCAAAATGTTCAAGATATATTTTTGCGCAAATTATTCCATAAAAAATATAGATGGTAACAATTTATCGTAAAATACATGAAACACCGAATGGTAACAATGAAAATCATGCGATGCTCATTAAGACAATATTTGTTTTTGTCGATTGTAATTATTCTCAGTAACTATCCAATGTATAAATATAGCATTTCAAGGCTGTTATGCGTATGTCTCATGTGTTGTGTCTCAGCAATCATAATTTCCTGATTATAAGCGATTGACGAAGAAGAGCTTTGGTGAAACTATATAATTGAAAAGTTTCAATAAATGCTCTCTCTCTCTCTC